GCTAAAGTCGAGGAATGAAATGTCTGCTGTTAATGTCTCCTGTGGGTCGTATATACAGGCACAGAAATAAAAATGTTCATCTCACCCCAGTCCTGTTCTTGTTTTTCTTTGGTTAAATGAAATATAAAGTTATTAGTGAAGAAAACCCGTCTGGATAACAGCAGACTGACTGCTGGTAAAATATACGACAGGTCTGGACCACTCCTGAATTTTGTTCGTATCTGAAAAAAATCTTAGAATATGAAAACATTGGTAAATGTCACAAATTCTCCTAAATCACTCGTACGCACAACTTAAGAACAAATCTGTGTGTACCAACGGTTCTTGCATGAGGCCCAATGGGTGGATGTGTGAAAGCTGAAATTAAACTCACATTTCAGACATAATGTCTTCTGTAGACAGGCTAACATGGTGAAACAAGGACAGTGTTGATATAAAGACACTTGAGTAGGAGAAGTTCGTACTTCTTTCTGCTACAAGCATAGCATTGAGTATTATTATTGTCAGTACTGTGACATTTCTCTATATATATATATATATATATTTTTTTTTTAATATTGTTTAATAATTTTTTATGTTACTGTTTTGTCTTTTTGTTCATGTCATGTTAAATAACAAATTAAACCAAGAAGCACTGGAGGCCATTTTAAAAGAAACACATCAACTTAATTCTGACAGTACGTTTAAGATCGACATAAAACGACTAAAATGATAACACATCTGTTGCAGAGAGCTACTACTTTGTGTAGATGAATGAAAACCTGATTCTTTTAAAGATCAAAAGGTTCACATCTGCTCCTCTTACTCCACCGTGGTACATCTGTAAGAAATGTTGGTACAAAAACATTAAATGTATTCCTCCTGTTCCCCTGCTATTCTTGAACGTACAACTAAGGTGCAGCCCTCAGCCTCAGACCAGAATCTGGACCCTTAGAGATGGAGCTTGTGGTTTGGTCCACAGATTATTAAGTGGTTTTGACAAGAGTCCGCTCCCCTGTGTTTCCAATGTCTTTTTGGTCACATGACCCATTTCTTGGAAACCACCGCACAATCAACACACACAAACACGCAGCACTCCAATGCCAGCTCTCTCTGATTTAAACACTACCCACTGAGAAGATTCTTTTTACAAAAACAATTACTTTTTTTTTAGATTTACTCTTTATCAGCAGCCATGTTATGATAGATACCTTTAGAAGGAATACATTTTAATTGGAAATGGATGGATGGATGAACAGATGGATGGATGGAAGTTTAATTGCAAAATTAAAAGCATTGCATATCTTCACTGCTTCTCATGCCAAGATCCCCCTAAACCAATATAATGCATATTGATCATTGATCGGTTGTACCTGGTGACTTGGACTTTATGTTGCTACTTGGTTCTGATTCTTCAGTGTCAAACGAGGCCATGATATTTCTCAGTACTTTCTGCTTTATAAATTTTGCCGTATCCCCTGTGTGATGGGCTGGTAGCGATCAGAGCATCCGGAGTTGCACAGTGAACTTTAGGTTTGTTTGTGAGTCGAACCTACACACAGTATGTGAACAGTTCAGCTGTTAATAACTATTAAGAACATTACTTTAAAGTCAGCTCGACTGTCTCTTTACCTTTTGTCTCCCAGCAATTACATTTCACACATATCCTCTGATGCCAGAAACCACAACTGATGAACCAGATTATTATTTATAAGCCCCAAGGGGTTTTCTTGAAGTTTGTGCTTGAAAAAGCATGCACAAATGTAAGTGGGTGTTTCTCAGCACCTAAAAACACCATATAAATACCCCTGATATCAAAATAAAGCTAACACTTGGGAGATTTCATCAGGAGTGTAAGTATCACATCATATGCTTTTGTTTCAGAGAAACTGAGGATGGAACATAGAAAAAATGTTATCTGTGTCTGGTCGATGTAGAAATGGTTTCTATGAGTTTTTAGCCAAGATTCTGACGTTTCTATAGATACCACACATGTCTATGTTTACTTATGAGAATGTTGGTTAATAAAGAAAGCAAAAAAATAAAAAAAACACGATTATGCCCCCGCCGGTGGGGGCGTGGGGCTTTAAAACTCACAAGAAGCAGAAAGAAATTTTTCAAGATATTGTGCACCTGCTATTGTCAGGCTTCGACCAGCTTTGGATTTGACTTAAATCTGGTGTTATAATTCAAATTCAAACAATGAGCCTTTGGCATCCAAGATGCTGAGAAACAGCAGATTTACAGAAGAAAAGGAAGAACACATCCTGCACAGCATGACCACAACGGAGGAGAAGATAACATCAGGTTTCTATCATCTCAGCTAGGGCTGCACCAATTAATCGACAATTAATCGATTATTAAAATAATCGATGACTAATTTAATAATTGATTAATCGTTTTCTTTTTTTTTTTGTTCTTTACTTTGTTTTTCCCATCAAACTGCTTTGACACCTTCCACTGCCACATCTGCCTTTCTGTCCTTGACACACATGCACAGTAGTGGTAACTGGGGTAGGCCGTGGACGTCACAAGTAGGGCTGCACCGATTGGTTGAAATAATCGATGACGTCGATTATGTAAATTTGTCGATGCAGATTTTTTATTATCGATTTGCTGTATTACATAACACCACATGAATGTTCATGTAATTCCATTTCGGTACCTAAATGCATCWTTGCGACCGTATTGGCATAAGAGTGGTGAGTTTTCCATGCTTGTCCTGAACGCAGCATCAGTAGAGCGTAATGACGTCAGCAGCTGCTGCTTCAGTTCAGTCTGAAGCTTGAAAACAAGCCTCGCAGCTCCTGGAGTAAAATTTACCAAACAGACCGCCTCTGAATTATCTGCTGGATTAATTATCTGCTGGATTAATTATCTGCTGGATTAATTATCTGCTGGATTAATTATCTTGTGAACATGACGTTCACTTGCTCAAAGTAAATAAAGTAGCAGCACTTTCTTTATTTCATCCAGCATTAAACAGAGAGCGGTGTTAGGTGGAGCCACGTTCCCCCATCAGACGGTTCCCCCAGCCTCTGAAACAACAGAGGAGCTTCAGACACACGTCTGACCTAAAGAGCACAAGCAGCCAACAAGTGTTGGACGTGTTCTGGATGTTCAAAACGTACCTTAAATACCTTTCATTTATTTTAACTGCATCCTCTTTTCTTTATTTCATTTAAACTTATTTACCTTCCATGGACCTCCATCACACAGTTTTCTAGTGGGGAAATGACATCAACAGAAACACGTGGAGCTGATTTTAATTTGTGCAATAAGACAAAACAGTTGTTGTTGTTTTCAACAGTTTTCACCTTAAAGAAATAAGTTACACAACTCATGTTACAATACAAAGAGATGATGTTGTCTTGATATTTGTTAATTTTTATATATTGAGAAATACAGGGGCGGCTGTGGTGTAGTGGTAGAGCAGCCGGCTTGGGACCCGAAAGTCTTAGGTTCGACTCCCCACCATACCCACATGTCGTGGTGTCCTTGAGCAAGACACCTAACCCTAACTGCTCCCCGGGCGCCTCACATGGCTGCCCGCTGCTCCACTTGGGTGTGGATGGTTTAAATGCAGAGCACAAATTTCGTCATTGTGTGGAAACATACACTGATGACAAATAAAGCACCTTTATATGTTAAATAAAAAATAAAAAATAAATGGTTATTATAGTTTTTCCAGAGTGACTTGAATTTTGCATGATTTAGTTCATTTGTTAGATTGTTAACATCTTGCACTATATTTCTTTTGAATTTTATATGCTTTGGTTGAGATTTTATGTTGATATTAAATCTTTTAAGCTTTTCTTTGTGAAAGAATTGACTCTAGAGTGCATATTTTGTGTCCACGAAAAAAACTATTGAAGAAAATATTAAAATATTAAAGAACTGTTCTTGTTAATTTGATGAAAACATTTTAAATATCCAGTGCACTCACATCTGAATAACTTGTAGATTTGTTGTTAGAATAATCGATTAATCAAAAAAATGATCGTTAGATTAATCGATTAGAAAATAATCGTTTGGTACAGCACTAATCTCAGCATTTATCAGACTGTTACCGGCCCCGACACATGAGTTATGACTCAGGCCCTATTTACACAAGACCGGTCTCTGGAAATGTAAAACAAATGGACCTAATAAAGTGACCAGTGAATTTGTAAGTGTGTATACATGCAAGTTTTAGCCTCAAGAACTTGTGAGTTTTATTATAACAAAAATAAGAAAAACATTTTTAACTAGAAACTACGTGCAACAATAATCATCACCAAACAAAAACCTCATTTCAATGCCTGATTTTGTAAAACTAAATAAATACAACAAATAAACCAATCTTATTCACACGAGGAAGACTAATTCTTAATGACTGACTGACTTCAATTAATTTAGGTATATGAGGGTAAACTTACATGGGGAGGTGTCTTCATATAGAGGGTCAATGTTATGCAGCAGCTCCAGCCTGGGTGAGGCCAACCCTTTGCTGCAAGATAAAAGCAAAATTACTGTTAAACATATGGACATACAACCAACACACATACACCACAGAGTCTGACTCATGCACAGAGAAACCCTCTGGGATCCATAAATCTGAACCAGGTGGCTGCTGTTCGCCAGGCTCTTACCGCACTCCACCACGGAGAAAACTCACCACTCATACTGACCACACGGTCTGATAACTTAAAATAACTCGCACTCTGCACCGCCTGCCTGCTGCTTCTGGACCTTCGTTTGGGGTTTATTCTGTCAGGCTGCTGCTTTTTGTTAACAGGCAATTACTTTAAAACCAAGTGAAGTTGTAATGCAGTGAAGACAAACAGCAGATTTTCTTTTGTATTGCTGTGACGTTCAAACAGCAGTGCCAGCAGCTGGCAGTCAGCTGACCTGCACCGACCAATCGAATCAAGGGCAGGCTGTAAGTGGTAGTTTGTGGTCCGGGCTAAGCCTTGATTTTCTGTTGGAGCCCTTAGTTTCACCTCATTCCTTGTGTCCAAATTTAGTTTACAAATTTAATGTGTCAGCCTGATCGGACTCCCTGACAGCTGGTGGGCACGACCCGAACTCACATGGAAAGTACATGTAGCCTATTAATTTACTAAAAGTGAACGCAAAATTTTATACAAGTTTATGATTTTAAAAAGAATTACAATGTTAGGTATTACGCTTTAGGAAATAAAATATATTCAAACGAACTGATCTAACATTAGAATGCCACAGGTAGGAAAAACAGATTTGTGTAAGAATGACTGATGGAATTTCCTTCTTTTTCTCTCCTATTGCCACAGTAACAAAAGGCTTATTGAAGGAAAAGGGGCTCCCACAAGGAAAGACTCTGGGCCAGGAAAATGGGCAAAATGAGCTGCAGTGAGAGTCCACAGGGTGAAGGACACAGAGAAACCCAAAAAGAGAACAGGCTGTCAAAAACAAGAGCTGACACTCTAACAAAGTGGAGTCAGGTCCAATGGACAGGTTCTTCTTTGTTGAAACGTTTTGTCTCTTCTCCAAGGGACTTCTTCAGACTGAGCAGTTGCATGTACGCTCAGCTTTATAAGCAGTACCTTCACATAGTGGATCAACCATTTAAACTAAGCTTTGTCAGATTTTTCTACCTAAATTATTGAGATGCATGAGCACAAGAGCTGGCACTGTTCTGAAATGAAAATGAAGACAACCTCTCTTTGCAGGTGTAGAAGCAGACTTCAAATGTGTTGTCTTGTGTTCTCTCTATGCTTCTTTATCTCCTTCTTTCCCTTCTTAACTTTTACCTCACCTTTCTCCTTTTCTTTTCTATTTTCTTTTCCATCTCCATGTCAATTATATTGAAATATTCCCAAAAAGAATTTCTGATAAAGTTTAAATGAAAAAAAGAAAACAAAAAGAACGTAAATGTCATTAAACATGAACAAATCAAACAAAAGTACCAATCAAACAAACAACATTCCTATATGACAAACTTTTTAAAACATTTTGGATTTAACATGTCCTGGATGACTGACATTCTAAACCAGTACCATAAAACCAAAATACTATACAGACACCACTCTAACAACCATCACTCAAACAAACATCACTCCAATAAACATATTTCCAACAAACATCATCCCAACAAACATCACTCCAATAAACACATTTCCAACAAACATTACTCCAGTAAACATCATCCCAACAAACATTGTCCCAACAAACATCCCAAAAAACATAGTCCCAACAAAAATCACTCTATCAAGCATCATCCCAACAAACATCATTCCAACAAACATCATTCCAACAAACATCATTCCAACAAACATCATTCCAACAAACATCATGCCAACAAACATCCAAGCAAACATTGTCCCAACAAACATCATTCCAACAAACATCATGCCAACAAACATCAACCCAACAAACATCCGAACAAACATTGTCCCAATTAGAGTTGGGCATAATCGTATTGTGTGCAATTAATCGTCAGAAAAACATTAATCGATTATTTTTTGGCACTTGACGATTAATACGATTAATGCCACCAGGCAGACTGACTGGATAGTTCCCCGGTCAGTCCGCTCGGCGCTCCTCTCCACTTCAAATATGACGAACATTTAAACAAAAGTTCTGTAATTTATTTATCAACACAATTTAAAATTTGAAGTACAGCCTGAAGTCTGTGATTTTGATTCAGTTTGAAAAAGATTTTTATGAAGAGCAAATCTTTTCCACTAAATTGGTCATGTGACTAGGACATAAAGGTGTCCAGGGACTCCAGAGGGATTAATCGTCAAATTAATCGTTATCAGCCAAACACCACAATTAATCGTGATTAATTTTTTGCCAATATCACCCAACCCTAGTCCCAGTAAACATCCCAACAAACATCATCCCAACAAAATTCGTCCCAACAAAAATCACTCTTAACAAATATCATCTCGAACATCAGCCCAATAAACATCGTCCCAACAAACATCGTCCCAACAAACATCCCAATTATCATCGTCCCAACTAGGCCTGTCGCGACAGTCAATAAATCAATTAATCGCACGATAACTTTTTTTGAGGTCGGTAAAAAAAAGACGGCGATAAGTTTCATTTTCCTGCTTGTTTTGTTTACTTCGTCTCTCTCCCTCTCTGTGCTCCGCTGCACAGGAGCTCCGCTGACCCCTCCCCTCCTGTTTTCTTAGTGTGGGAGGAGCGAACTCTCGCTTTAGCGTGAGAGCTCGTTCCTAAAGAAAAGCTTCAAAGCAGAATGCGGCTGCTGAAGTGTCGGGAGCACTAGAGCCTGGATTTTGCTGCGGAGGGAGGGAGGGAGAGACGGAGTAAGACAGAAAGAGAGAGAGAGAAAGAGAGAGAGAGAAAGAGAGAGAGAGAAAGAGACTGAGAGAGAGGAGGAGAAGGGGTGGGGG